GCTGCAGCTGTTGCAGCAAATGCTGCTGGTGCTGCAGCAGCTGCTACGACAAATGCTGCTGACGCTGCAGCAAATGCTGCTGATGCTGCAGCAGCTGCAGCAGCAGCTGCTGCTGCTGCAGATGCTCTGTAGGGAGCAGTTTGCTTGCATTATTGTTTGTTGCGTCTGTTATTTGCTTTATTTTTCCTTGCTGCTGTCGCCTTCACCGTTTGCTGCTGCTGCTGCTCCTGCTGCTGCTCCTGCTTGAGGAGCAGCATATGAATAAATTTCTTTCTTTCTTCTTCAGTTTTTAAAGAAGGAAGCCTACAGATCGCAAGGTCATTGAAGGCAGCAGGAAAAGCAGCAAACTGCTGCTGCAGCGGCTGCTCCCATACAAAAGGCAGCAGCTCCAGCAGCAGCAACGCACCCCGAGAAGGCTGCACAAATGAACAGCCACCTGCACACACTGAAGCAGCAGCAGCAGCAGGTGAAGCAGCAGCAGCAGATGCCTCAGTCAAAGGCCTGGGGGCGTCATTTGCTTTGCTTCCCCCTATCAGCACCTCTCCTCCTCCCTCTTCTGCTGCTGGTGCTTCTGCTGCTGCTGCTGCTGCTGCTGGTGCTTCTGCTGCTGCTGCTGCTGCTGCTGGTGCTTCTGCTGCTGCTACGTCTGCTGCTGCTGCGCCTGCTGCTGTTGCACCTGCATTTGTTGCTGCTGCATTTGTTGCTGCTGCATTTGTTGTTGCTATTTTCTCTTTATCTTTGTTAACCTCAGTAAGAAGCAAACCCTTAAAAAGACTTCGTCGCATTTCGTATGAACTCAGCGCGTTGCCCAGCAAAACAAAACCGCAAAACTTCGCCTCTAAACCTCCCTCACCTTCTTCAGGGTTTGGGGGCCCCTCCCCTCTAGGGTTTAGGGGCCCCTCTCCTTCTTTAGGGTTTAAAGGCCCCTCTCCTTCTTTAGGGTTTAAAGGCCCCTCTCCTTCTTTAGGGTTTGGGGGCCCCTCCGTTTCTTCACGGTCTTTGGAAGCACTACAGCTGCCGTTGCTGCTGCTGTTGTTTCTGCAGCTGCTGCCGTTGCTGCTGCTGCTGTTGCTGCTGGTGTCTGTAGTTGAGGGATGTATACATTGATTGGGTGTACAATGAGGAGTATTCCCGCAGACAGAGCAAAACAAAGAAATACGATTTTCTGTTGCAAATAAATCTCCATAGAGGTCTGCATCACAGTGTGGGGCGAAGTAAATATTAATAGTTTGTCTTGTATCTTTTAGCTGCTTTTTTCTGTTCTTTTCTAAAGATAAAGGAGACAAACAACTGCCACCAAACAACAGAAACAATATCCGCAAATCCAAAGCACTCATCACAGGGTCGAGCACATGCATGCAGCTAGCAGAGACCTGCAGCAGCTGCTGCAGCAGCAAAGCCATTGCTAGCTGGTAGCGGCAGCTACGAGTATCAGTGCATGCACTGGGGCTTCCCAGCCCCAAACAAATCAAAACAAACTCTACATCTTCTCTTCTAAAAACAGATGCAGCAATATCAGGGGCTTCAACGGGGGCCCCCTTATCGGGGGGCCCCACAGGGGGGCCCCCTATGGGGGCCCCCTCACATTCGGTGTACATACACTGCAGTTCCTCCCTCACTGCTTCCTCCAGCTTCTGCTTTATCTCAAACCATAACAACGAATTCTCTACCTCAGGCTTTAGCTGCCTTACAGCAGCAGCAATTGCTGCTGCTTCTGCTGCTTCTTCTGCTGCTGCTGTTGCTGTTGCTGCTGCTGAGGGTGGAGCTGCTGCTGCTTCCTTCGCACTCGCTGGAGATGCAGCACTGGGGGGCCCGAAAGAGCTAATGGGGGGCCCGGGGCCCCCATACCTGCACATACTTCGTGCAAACTCGACCTGGGATCGACTCAGAC